GCTTCCTTGGTTTCTTCATTAAAGGTTCTTTCACTTTTGAAGACAAAAGCCAGAAGATTTTTGATGTTGTCCTCAATACTTGTGTTTCTACAACAGGCAGTTGCCGTTCATTCAACCAAATTTCATCATTATGTTTGTTTATTGTTAAGTGCAAAGCTATATAATTGAGGTGTGCCACATGATTTATGGGTCTAAGGGTTTGATTTCCATGGCTACTAAGCTTTCTTGCCCTGTCTTTGTTATTACAAATCTGCTAAGGCTATTTTCCACTGTCATTAACTTTGAACTGCTGACTAGAGGGAAGGTAATTGGCTGTAAATCATTTTCATTAATGTTATCCAGGATTTTTGCTTTCCAGAATTACTAAGGAATTTTTAATTGAAGCTATAAAATTAGTGCTGATAAATAATTAGTTTATCTACAGTAATGATTTCTAAGAGGAACTGTCATAGGTATAAAATTTGCTCCTACCTGTACAATTTTAACAATGAGCTTTGTAGAAGACACTTATATCACTGTTGATCAAAGAATGAATTTCATGTTAGCTCTTATGTGAAGTCTCATTGGCTCAGGTACATTGATGATTGTTTTTTTTTTTTATCTGGAATGAAGACTTAAATTATTCAAGTTTCAAATGGTCTAGATCTAAACATTAAACTTACTGTTGAAAAGGCTATACATTTCTTGGATATAAATATATACTGATTGAAATGTCTTTTAAAAACTGATATTTTTTATAAACCAACCAATTTCAACAATTGCTTAGATTTTAGAAGTAAATATCTTAGACACATCAAAAAAATATATCCCATATACTTTAGCAAAAAGAATTGTACAGATTATAATAAGTAAAAAAGATATGTTCAATTTTTATTAAATAGAAAATATCCGGAGAGCCTAGTTCACAATTGTATATTTTTGTGCCAAATTATATGGTCCAAAAGCTAATAATCAGGCACCAGTGTTACCAGTCATTACTACAAACATCCTATGGTTACAAATTAATATTAAAAGAGTGCAAGACACTTCGACTGTTTTCTGTATTTCTAACATTATAAGAAGAGTTGTAAGTGATGTTAATGTTATTGTAGCTTATAGATGATCTTAAAATCTTGAACTGTTTACTTTGGTAAAAGTAAAATACTGGAAGTTATTATGAAGGTATTACTCAGTGTAAGAACTTAAGAGGTCAGCTTTGTAATCTAGGTTATATTGTTAATACTAATATCATTACAAATACAGATGGAACTGTTATATTCAAAACCAAAAGATCTTTCTTTTGCAGTTTTAAAAATTGTATTTATATGTTAAAATTTACATTTTATTGTCAAAATTAGGTTGGACAAACAGAAAGTTCAAGATTTCATGTCAGAAATCCAAGTTAGAGCCCATTAAGCAGTTCAGAATACATATATATATATATATATATATATATATGTATATTGTGGTAGTTATTTTGGTTTTATATCTCACACAAGCTCCAGAGGGGCTTGGGAGACAACCAGGAGCACTCAGAAACTGTAGTTTCTCTTCAGTCCCACACGCAGAGTTAGGTTATTGTCGAGAATGCTAGGTTTTTTTAAGAGTGGTGTGGGATATGTGATATATACCAACAATTACTTTTGATCCAGAGGTAATATACTAGATGAACAATTTCTATTATTGGTTGGTTTCCCTATACTAGCTGAGTTGTCTCAAAGTCAAAGCGTGTGTAAAAGCTGTCAAGTTGAAAAGGAGAGTCGAAGGAAGAGAGTAGAAGAAGAAGAGTTTACCTGCTTGGATTAACATGTTGAGTCATTGAAGTGTATGGGCCGGAGCATGTGGAACACGTGTGATTGTTTCCACACGTGCTGGTGACGTCAGGTTGCGAGAGAGTACATTGTGTTGGCATAGTTGATGGTGACACGAGCGGAGAGAGAAGCACATCCTGCTAACATGGAATGGTTAAGGCATAATCATTTTGAAAACTTGAAATTTTTATATAGAGTTCAAATAGAAGGAAAGATTAAAAGATTACGGAAGTGATGACTTTAAGTACGTTAATGGTACTTTTTATTGAGTATTTTAACATCAGTTTAACAGATCATGGTTATGATTATGATAGAATGGCCCATTACAGGGTGGGGTGGGGGGGGCAGAATCTGTTAATCCTAGACAAGATTTCTAACCTTTATTTTCCCCTATTGCCTCTCCAACTGGTATTAACTCTCATACACCTCCTTTCCAAGGAGTACTGCCTATTTCTTGTAGATTTTCATGGGTTACCTTCTTCTTCCTAAACTCCAAGTTCGGGTGATTGCCATCTTTGGTTCTTTCCCTACACATCTGGCTTTTTTGTTTTGGGGATCTTCTGGGGTGGGATACTGTCTTGTACTAAGTTCATTTCACTTCCACTTCTACTCAGGACTTTTGGACAGCTCTTTTTTTTACACCGGTCCATTTTCTTTTGGGGTGGGATATTACTCCTGTGACTTTAGCATCATGTGGGGTATCTATATTGCTACATTTGATTTTTTTCTTTTTTGGTTGCTTGTTCTTCTTGTTAGCCATATCATTCTTTATTTCTGTTCCATGTCCAGCACATTCCCATCATTTACCTGTCCTACATCTAAGAGTTCATTCACTAGTCTTGTGTTCTCGATGCAGATTGGAGTTCTTTGACCGACCTGTTCCAGCACAATCACTTCATGTTTTTTTTTACTATGTTGTCTTTTATCACACTTATATTCTTATACCTATGTTTCTATTTATCATCCTTCATGGTGCTGTTTTAGGTTTGCTCAGTGTGGGTTGGGTACCAGTTTGTGCCTTGCCCTTCTAGTTTGTTTTGGATCTGTATGTCTTTGTCTCATCCACCTGCTTTGGCTGTCAACATGTTCAAACAGGATAGGGACCTGTTTATATCTTTATTTCTCATACCATTCATCACCTTCCATGGGTGATTTTGTTTATCCTTGCCACTCTGAGTTAAGTATTTCTGATTGCTCTTTCCTGGCCGACACAGATCTGGTTTTCTTGATTGCTTCAGCCCTATCTGTTCATTTTGTTCTGAATCTATTTTTTCCTATACACCATTCTGGTGGCTCATGTGGCATGTTCTTCCTTTTCTTAGTTTTTGTTTCCTTCTGTCTCCCATCTTTAATCCCGGTTGGATCTGGATGGCCTTCTATGTCCTGTATCTGCTCTGGTTGTTTAATTGCCTTCAAAGCTTCTTTTCATTGGTTCTCTTTCCTGCTGTTTCATTCCCTGGCACTACTTGTCTGTTTACAACTTCTTCCCTCCACCATTACCCTTTTGATTAAGATTTTGTTTCAATTAGTTTTTCTAACTCATGGACTTCATGAGTAAAGCAGAAGGGGATAGCTGCCATTCCTTAGATTGAATAACTCAGGAATGGTATGCTTTTCAAAATAAGGTTTCTGTGGTCTCCCATTTTCATTGTCTCCAGTGTTGACATTCCTCTGTGCTCTGCACCACATTTTTTCCTCCCCCTTTTTTCTTATAGTGGAATACTGAAATCTTTAATACTTTCCAGTTCCATGCTGTTGGGGTGTTGGACCATGGAGGCATCCTCCTGAATGTGATATCGATATACGATACAAACAATAATGAAGCCATTCAGATGAGAGTAGGGTGGTGGTGTTCTGCTGATGTAGATGACAAGATTTCCTCCAGTGTGATGCTCCGTCTCTTAACAGGTCTGTCCAAGAGGATGTTGTAGCTTTGGAGTGAGCTATTAAAATTTATTTTTACCCCTTCACTTGTGATCCCTCGTCCTTCCCCCATATGGATGTTGGTTCCCAGTGGTTGGGTTTTAGATTGAGAGCTGGACCAATCAACATAAGTCCTCATACATGTATCACAGGTGTCTCCATTCCCTCACACAATTAGACTCATGTTCACTGCTACCATGTTGTGGGTCACGGTGGATAATCATGCATGTTACTACAGTTCTTCCTATTGCGCTATCCCTTGGAGATTTTCATATACCGAAGATGTTACTGCACTGGGGGTGGTTGCTGTCTGACTGGTTTTGAGTAGGATATTTTACAATACAGGGACATCCTTATTATTCTGATTATCTGGATGATGGGTTCCCTGATCAGTCAAACATTTTATCCCTTTGCTATCATGTGTCTTGTTCATAGTTTGGGGGGTACAAGACCCCTTCCCATCTGATGAACTTAAGGTGAAGATGGTATGATCCTCTTTCCTACCCCCACCAGATGACTGTGTTTTAGATTATAGTTGACTTGCTGGCAGTATGATCCTCTCTCCTTCCCCCACATGGATGTAAGTTGTGGTGACTGGGTTTTGGATTGTAGTTGACTTACCAATGATATGATCCTGATCCTACCTCCACTTGGATGTCGGTTCCTGGTGGCTAGGTTTTGGATGCAGTTGACTTGATGTGTAGGGTCTGTCCTGCCCTAGCCATTCTACACTTTGGGCACATCCATTTTACTCTCACCCACATTATTGTTATCTATGGGATTGAGGTTCAGATATAGGGTGGTTTGGATCCATATCCAACCATTGTTTTCTCTCTTTTAGATGTGTTCCTACCTTTTTCTGCCCATGTCTGCATCACCTCTTTCCACACTGGTTGTAGAGGATACCTGGTACAGAAGTGGTGCGGTCTCCCATGTATTATCTTCTATTGCAAGGTTCTACTCTTTAAAGGTGACCTTCAGACACTTTTGAAGGACGCTTCTTTCTTTTCCTCACACCAGTCCCTTCACCTGTTGAATCTGAGATTCTAGTTATTTATGTGAGAAGATGAAATGTAACTTGTTGGAAGTTATAATTTTCCCATACTGAAAATGTATTTTTTGTAGGTACTTACCCTGCTCACACTTCCCACCCTTCTTCCCCACTGAAAACCATTACTTCCTTTTTTCTGCCAAAACTTGATGTGGTAGTTTGGTAGAATTGAATAGAGGGATCCACATGCATAAGGAAGGTGTGTTGCACTTTTATTGGTAGAGGGTTGTCGCATGATGATTTATATGCGAGACACAGTGAACCACGTTGATCTTCAGGTACGTGGGAGCTCAAGGCTTGTGGCCTGTGAAAAAACTTATTGCATATAGAGGGCAGCACTGAATAAGAATAGCTATTTATATGAGAAGAGGTAAGTACCTATCAGAAATACATTTTCAGTATAGAAAAATTATAACTTGCTATGTTTTTAAATTTTAGTTCATTAAGTGCATTGATCTTTTTTTTCAAAGTTGACTTAGGTTTAACACTATAATCCAAATATTTACTTATACTTCCTTTAACCTTTTGTCTTAAAAAGGAATGTATGATGTTCAAGATCTATGGAATTAAGTGAGGAAAATCAACGTACAGTGTCATTTGCTGCAAATTACTATCATTAAAGGGAAGATTAGTTAGATATACATTTTCTTAGAAATATTTATAATTTTAAAGTACAAGATGTGTATGTTTGAAATATATCTCAGACGTACTACATGTTGACATAGTGTTTAAGCATCTAATTTTATGTGTATTTATTGTTGTATTTTAAAATATTGTTGAAAGGTAAATATATTTGTAAGGTACTGTAAAAAGGCTAAGATAAAATGCTTCAAATGTGTATAACAGCAATTGGTAAAACATTGTATTAATTGTTTACATAGGTTCAAAACTTAGAAAGTATATAAATGATATTGAAAATCACATTCAGTAAAACAATAAATTACCAACCTGCAAAGTAAGTAGTAGCAGGCTATTGTTTCGAACCCATTCTATTAAAATGTGGCAAGGGAGGGCTATTTGTTAATTATATTACAAATATGTATGTGTGATAGAATTATTGGAGAACTATTTTATCAGAATAAGTACAGTTTTTTTCATCTTGCCTCTCCCAGTACAGAAATGTACATTATATTAGTCATTCAGGTCGAGAAGCATTTTATTCTATAATTGACAGTTGTTAAAGTTTTCTGGATACATAATATATATTGTGGCTAAATAAAAAAAATATTACACTCATCCATTTTCTTTTTACCTTATAGGAACTTAAGAAGATCTTATATTATTATCCTGATTTGGCTGATACAGACACAAAAATTAAGAATGTAGGTCTGTGTGAAGCTCTTATCAAGTTTACAGAGTAAGTGATATTGATTCATACAGTGTGAGTGTTGAGTTGATCATTAGTATGTTTTTTTTAAATATCTGATCAAGTTTAAGTTCAAACGCACCTCTCATCTTTGTTACTGGATCCTACTTGTAGAATTAGAACAAATTTAGTCTGATATGCATATTTATTGTAAGTGAATGAACATGCATAAACTGTCATGTAGAGCTGGGTGATTAACTCAATTAATTGATATAATTGATTACCTGTGAGCTTTATTAAAATCAGTCAGTTTCAAAACTCATGAAAATAACTACCTAATCAAAATTAATGTATCTAGTTATTACTATATTCAGTTATTCTAAATATCTAAGTCTAATATAAGAATAATTGATTAGTTGAATTTAATCAATTAATGGGCTTGATGGCAAATTCCACTGATTCATCCACCTTGTATATACACACATATTTATTGTGCATGAAAAAGTACATGCCCAACTAGGTACAGTATAAAATGTGCAGGTAAAACATAGTGTTTTTTGGATACTTATGGAAGTGAAGTTTTGATGTCATGTTTAATATTATTGTGTACTGATGGGATTGCACTATTCATTCATAATTTATGACTAGGAAAATGGAAATGCTGATTTAGTTCTGAAATAAAACATCTAAATATTTTTTTTTACTGTGCAAATAGGGACTTGATCTTCAAAAATAAAATTACCAACAGCTCTGTTCGACTTTGACTCCTTTGAATGCCACTCATAAGAACATTGCTTTTCAAACAAAAGTAGAATTGAAGCACCCAACTTAGCTGCTTCACTGCTTGTCTTTTTGTTTGTGTTAGTTTAAGAAGTGAATGGAGATGCCTTAGAAGGTTGCTGTATTTATTTTGATGCTTTAAAATTTAATGTGTTACCTATTTTAGTTAGTGTTTGTTACATAAGTGCTTTACATACTTACCTACTCTAATCAAAAATCCAAAATAGTTATAGATTTGCACATTAGAATTTGTATTTTTCATCAATAGATTAGATTCTACTGATGTATCTATAACTAAACAATAGTAGTGTGACCAGTTATGAGCAACTGTTAACACTATTCAGTTGCTTAGTAATGACTATTCTTAACTCCGGCCGAAAGTCCCAATTTACCCATCGGTTGGTGACAGTATCTGAAAACATTTGTCTTCCACATTATCTTCCACAAAATTAAGAAAATTCAAGTTTTATAAGGTATGGTGATAATTATTAGGAAATTATGAAAATAATTCTGACAGAATGTGCAAAAAATTATGGCATTAAACAATTGGAAAATGAAAACCAAAACTATGATGTATTTCAACACAGGAAGCTTTCTCATTCACTTTTTTAAATATGCATTTTCTTTTAATACAATACACAATTAATAATAAATTTAGGAATTGTGTCTCTTGAACATAAATAATATCAGGAAGCTTCTCCAGAACTAAGATTGAAAAAGAATACTTTTATCATACTCATTACAAATATATATCTTAATAATAAACCACAAAGCTACATTATTGTTCATTCATTAATACCAGTGTACAGTTAGGTTGATGTTTATAACAGGGTGGAGGAACATGGATACAAATGTGCGTGGATTTCTCCTCAAACAGTTAAGTTATTCATTCTTTTGGAATTGTTAATAACTTTTAAATAATGATTATAGAAAGATTGTTCCAGCAATAATGAATTTACATTGAAGATAATGTATGAGCTATCTAATTACATTATATTTTCAGTAAAATGTCTCCACATTGTAAGATCTGCCTTCATATCTAGGAGCTGAGAAAGTCAGGCGTGGTATTTATAAAAGGAAACAAACCATGTGTGGCTTATTCTCTTGTAACTGATGAAAGTATATATCTGGAAACCTAAATGTTGCACTTCCAAGTGAGAGTGGTCATTTGTTGAATTTCTGGCCAATATCCACTTTTAGGAAATGCTCAGATACAATTTGCTCATTATAGCAAAAAAAAGTATATTTTATTGTTATTTCATAATAAACGTAAATCTATACTTATAAGCATTTGTCAACCTTTCAGAACATTTAATCCAAGTAAAGCATGTGAAGCTCTGCATACACAGAAAACTCGTCAACTGTTTTATCAAGCTGAGACAGACTTTTGGATGGCAATGGTAAGATAAAACTAAGTTGTTTGTACATGTAATCTTACTAGGAAACTGATTCAAGATTTAATTCTAAAACTTATTAACTTTAGAAATTCTAATCTTCAATTTCAGTTTTAAGTTTGTATTGTCAGTCAATGTATGATTCTGAAGAGCTTTAAAAATGAAAACAATTTTTTATTTATTTATTAATGAATGTACTTAGTATTAATATTCAAGTTAAACTATAATTGTTACAGTTGTATTTAGTTTTTAACCTCTTGAGAATGACATGTAACAGTGTTTAGACTAATATTTTATTTAAAGAATGCTAGTTTAAGCATAATAAATATAAAGGATAAATTAAACCTTTAGTACCAGTTGTTTCTTTGGCTAATCCTTTGCATTTGGGCATGGCTCTTTCGTACATGTCATGACCTTTTACAGCATTATCTTCAAAATTTTGTTAAATGGCTTTATCATCAATAAAATTGGAAGGAAGACAGCTTATAACTCAAAATTTTTATTATCTAATTCTCAGTCTTCATTTTTTTGTGTCATAAGATCTGAGCTTTGATTACTCCAATTAAACATTTTCTGACTTTAAAAAAAGGGTACTGCAGTTTCTAACCAATAAGAAAAACAAACCATACATAATCATAACAAAGGATATAAAATTTGAACCTCTTACCTTCTTAATTTGTTAACATATCAATAAGTTTATCAAACCCACCAGTGAAATCCTGGCTTTTATGATTATTTCCTAATCAACTTTATATGGCTGATGGACATATTTAAAATCACTAGAAAGAGCAGGTTCTTTTTTTATATTTAGCTTACAACTGTTCATTTAGGTTACTTAAGTTAATAGTAGCAAGTAAAGGTCTATACATAAACCAAGCAAATTGTTTACATTTCACTGCTATATGTTAAATTTAAGTTAAATCCTGACCTTGCCTTTGCAAGGCACACAGGGCTGGTGCTTTCAAACTCTGGCTTATAGTGGCACAAGCAGGTGAGAATGGTTACCCATTTCTCCTGAATAGGATACCAGTCCATTGCAGGTTAACCATCAGCTATCAGCTGATACTCATCATACAGCTGGATAGACTGAAACAAATGGGGATAAATTGTCTTGCTTAAAGACATAACCGAATGAAGCTGGCTAGTCTTACACTTATAACCATCCAAATACAAGTCTGCTTTCCTGCCATAATTAAGAATTTCTTCTTGTTAGTCATCCTGTTAACTTTATTCACTATGAATTTTGATGTAAGGGTTAAATGCTGATTCATATTCTTTTAACAATATTGGAAATTCTACCACTTTCTTGGAAGCTTTACTCATATAATCTGCATCTACTGTGCATTGAGATCCTGTAATGGCCTAGTTGGCCCTTATTACCTCATTGATCATGTTTTCAGGTCACTAATTTTGACCTTTATGCTGGTGTCTTTGGGGTTTCACATTCATGTTGACACTTATTTGTAGAATGCTTGCCTTTTGTCTCATGAAGTACCAAAAGAAAATGCATTTTTTGTTTAAGCTTATTCACATGTGCTGAAAAAGAAGATGTGTCAATTATTCCTAATTCTGATGAAGCTTGTACTAGCGTATACCAACAATCAAAGAGGAACTTGATTTCTCAGCCTTTATTTTGCTGTGTCTCTCGTCATCTTTGAGTGTATTCATGTCATACCTGTCTTTGAGCCTATCATGTGCCAGATCTTGTGAACATACTTACAAGTCCTCTTTCCAAACATCATTGGCTTTTCTTTATGGTGTTGACCCTAAATCGTTTTTCAGCCCACCCTTTTTTTTTTTTACACAGATACAGAAAAAAAAAAGCTTTCTTTTGCTCAGGCTTATGCACCTTCTTTGTGGAAGAGCAAGATTGGTCAACTAGCCCTAATTCTGAAAAAGCTTCTTTTGGTGTAATTTTTCAGGAATCAGAATCTCACATCAATATTTTGGATCTTTGGTCAGTTCAGTATGCTTTTCCAAAGTTCTTACCCTTGCTACACCACTACTATGTTGTAGGTAACTCGTGATTTATCAGCTTTTCTTTTTGCTGCTGCTTTCTTCATCTTTGGCTTTATTTACATCATGTGTCTTTGACCCTGTCATATAGCAAGTGTTGTGAACATACTTGTGGACTCTCCTTACATTGGCTTCTCCTTACAGATTGGACCCTTCAGATTTTCAGTGGTTGTTTTAGTCAGCTTGGTTGTCCTCTGATCAATGCTTTTGTAATAATGGGCAAACATCTTTTTTGCTTTACTTGTACACAGTTCCAGACTCTTCTTCCTAACAGTAGATGCTTTGACCAGTCTTTGGAGAATCTTTTTCTCTCTGCCTTCCCTCCTTTTGTCTTCTTTCTTGGGTATTGATTTGCCCGTGATCAGTAAGCGAATTGTTGAGTTATCTTTATTGTTCTACACTATCTGGCCCAGCCATGATTTACCATTGTATGTTGTATATCTCTAGTCTAGGGGATCCCATTGCACTACTTCTTTGGAAACATCTTTTTTGTCAGCCTTGAATATCTTTCTCCCACATTGATGTTCTTTGTCTACAGGTTGAAGGCTGGGTGTTATGTAGTCCTGTATTAAAGAAGCTGGATTCTCTTCACCTGTAACTCAAATGTTATCATATTCTTACTGACATTCATCCATAGGAATCTACCAATCTCACTGGACTATATTCATGAGTTGATGCCATAAAAATTCTGTTCCTTGCCTTTTTTATTTAACTATACAACAGACTGCTTTAGTGTTTTTGTTCTTATTTCATGATTGTGGCTTATCTGCTTCTTCTATTGCAGACTAATGAGATGCCTTTTCTGCCACTTCTAGATTCCATAGAATCCATCTCTCTTTCTTGTGTCTTAACTTTGTACTGAGCATTTATGTTTTTTGTCTTACTTTGTTCTTGAGACCCTCGACTCTGTCTTCAGAGGAATTTACGTCTTGTTCGTGTTACGACTGATATTCTTACCATTACTTCAGGTGCTGTTACAGAGGCTTCAGGTCAGAAGGTCTTGACTGAGGATTTTTCATTTATCATTTTTGCAGGAGATTGATTGTTATATGAATTGACCTTCTTTTTCCTAATAATGCTCAGATTCCTCTGGAATCATACGAACCTATTCATGAAAAGAAGGATTTTGACAGCCTTTTTTCATCACCTAACTATGCCCTCTGTTCCCAAGCATCTCCTGCAGAATCTGCTAGGCTTAACTTAACCTTTTTGGATATGATTTCTAAGGTGTGTTTCATTTTATTGATTTAATATGATCCTTTTCCTTCCTTGTTACATGACACCTTGTCCACAGAGTATTTTGTTTTCCCTCCTCCTGACATCAGGGCTTATGCTGAGCAGTTCGTTTCTCAGTTGAGGGCTGGTGCTAGGATTCCTTTCCCTCCACAGGCATTATGCTTTGATTTATCATCAAGCTAATCCTCCATTTCTCGACTCCCAGCAGTGAGAGTCACTTTTGCCATGTGTGGGGGCTGACCCTGACAGTCCTATTTGTTTTTTCCACGCCAATTTCTTCTACCTTCGTCTTACCCTTAAAGCTCTCCTACTGTACTTGTTTACCATACACCTCATTTCTGAGGCACTCCACCAATCCCCTGAGGGGATTTTGGGGGATACCCTTTCCATCATTACCTCCACGTTGGTGAAATTGTCACCTCAGTCTTAACCCTTCACACATGGTTTCTTTGCTGTTAGGATCTTATTTGGAGGGACACTGTCTTGTCACAGGTTTGATTGCCTTTCACTTCTCTTTGTGACTTACAGATAGCTCCTTTTTTTCCATTAGTCTGTTTTTGGAGATATTCCTGAGTTTTTCGAATCATGTGTGGAATCTGTCAGACAACATTTGGCCTTTTTGTCTTTGGTTGCTTGTTCGTCTCATTCTGATCCCATGCCCTATCCCATTACCTTTTTTTATTCTGCACCATCACATCCTTTACCAGTTCTACCACTAGAGGTTTGACACTTCATCATGTCTCAATGTTGGATTCATCGTTGCCATCAGTTCCGGTGACTATCAGGTTGTTTCAAGTCCATTACATGCAATTGTCCTTTTTTTTTGTGCACCTTTTCTCTAGAATCCCAAGTCCATGTTTAGCTACTTGAAAAAATATATCAAAAGCTTCTTTTCCTATCCCCTGGGGTCGAGCACATATGCATTCTCTCCAGTGGACTCTACATGGCCAATGGAATTTTGCTTGTGATCCCTTGGACTACCAACCTATCCTTTTTCCTTCCGTTACTGACAATCTACATTGGTGGTTGAACAAGGAGTATACGAAGGAGGGAGTACCACTTCCTTCTTGTCCATATATGCATCTGTTCACAGATACTTCTCTCCACAATTGAGGGGGACTGGGTCAATCAGCAGGAGGCTTCCAGACAATAATCCCTGGCGGTATGACATGCTGTGGATCATTTTGTTCCTATTGTATGGAACTGACTTGTAATGATACTTTCAGACAATTCCATGGTTGAAGCTTATATAAATCTCCAAGGGTGCACTCATGGTTGAATGTTGGAACTCCTTCATTGGGCCCACAGACTGTGGATTCATCTCCTTTTGTGTCATTTTCCGAGTGCTTTCAACTTTGTGGCAGATCAACTTTCCAGACCCGACAAAGTTTATCCCACGTCGTTGTTTCTTTTCAGGTGGCTATGCAATCAGTGGGGTACTCCCCATCTGGATGCTTTTGTCACTTTCCCCAACACCAAGTTACCTCTTTTATGGTCTTTGGTTCCTCTTTCTCAGGACCTGGCTGTAGGTGCTTTCAGTCAGGACTAGACCAACTGGTACCTTTATATTTACCCTCTCACCTGACTCCTTGCCAGTCATCCATGCCACTCCATGTCAGGTCCTTCTTATTGCTCCTTACTAGCTGGTGCAAACTTGGTTTCATAATCTTTTTCATCTCCAAACTACTCCCCCATTGCCTCTTCATCTCACTCCATCCCTACTCCGTCAATCTTGATCACTGGTCCTTCATCCT